TCACCCACCAAGCGAGCATACTGAAAATTGGTTCATCAAATATCGTTACAGTAGGAGGGGATGGCTCATGAAGGTGAGCCTTGCTAACTGTCAGAGCACTAAAGAAACAGTATTTAGCAATAATGGACGGATGCAACGACATGTTACAGGTTGAAAATGGCTGCGAAAGGTTAACTTACCGCTTTGTGTTTGGAGGACGATTTTGTTCGCATACGTCGCGGGGTTGCGAACACGTGTTGATGTATGAATGCCCCCATACGTTATCTGAAGATTACGGAGCCACCCACGGAACCTTTGAGCTTGTAGTCCGCCGCAAGGAGATAGCGGTTGTTCGCATACTTCCTATGGGCTGTGGGACGACACGACACGGATTCAGGGGGTGGCCCTGAAAAGGGCCGTTGCTCCGTTCTCCAAGGAATGGTAATAGTGTGGTAACTGGAAAGCGAAGGAAGATCAGACAAGGTGCTATGATAAGAGACGTCGGATTCACGTACGTCACATGAAATCTGAAAGATAAATGAGGATGGACCAGGAATATAACCTGGGGCGGCGGTTTATGGTGTTGTCACGCAGCGCCAGCGGTACTTGGGAGGAGGCTTTGTGGCAGCGTGAGGTTGGAGGTCAATGGGCGGCACAAAGCAGGCGCTCCGAAGACAAGGTGATGATGGAAAATCAATGTTATCTAAAGCTACGTATCAATGCAACACCGCATGGCGGCTGCACGACTTGGAAGCAGGCTGTGTGGCAGCGCTAGGTAAGAACGCATTGGGCGGTGCATATCAATGGCTCTGAAAAGGAGGTGAGTACATAAAATCGACGTTACCTGTAACTGCGTGTCAATGCAACATCACATGGCGGCGGCATGACTTGGGGGAGGCTCTGCGGTAGCGCGAGGGAGCAACGCAGAGGGTGACGCATAACAGTGGCTATGCTAGAGCGATGAGCTTGGAAAATCTATGTTACCTGTAACTACGTATGAATGCAAGATGAAATGGCGGCGGCATGTATTTGGAGGAGGCTCTGTGGCAGTGAGAGGTTACAAGGCGGGCGGCGGCAGATATCACTGGCTCTGAAGTGGAGGTGAGCATACAAAATGTATGTTACCTGTAACTATGCATGAATGCAGCATCACATGGCGGCGGCAGTACGTGACAGGTGGCTTTCTGGCAGTGAGAGGAAACAAGGCAGTGGGCGGCAGATGTCAGTGGCTCTGAAATAGAGGTGAGCCTTGAAAATCAATGTCACCTGTATCTACGTATCCATGCAACATCACATGGCGCCGGCAGGACTTGGGAGGAGGCTCTGGGCTAGTGAGAGGAAACAAGGCGGTCCGCTGCAGATATCAGTGGCGTATATCAGTGGCTCTGAAACAGAGGTAAACATAGTAAATCTGTGTTACCTGTAACTGGGTATCAATGCGACAACGCATGGCGGCCGCAAGATCAGCGAGAAGGCAACGGCCGGTGCGTAGCGCGGAGTCTCTGAAAGGGTAGTTATTACAGGAAACATATGTACCCCTGTCAGCATAGCAATGTCATACAAATGCGGTAATAGTGATGAATATGCGCAGGCAAGGAAATGGATGTACCCGGTAAGAACACCACGGAGATGTCTGACACTGTGAAGCTTGTAGGAGAATAGTGATGTCTCAGTGCAAGCAAGCACCTTGGGCCGGGTAAGTTTCTCTAAGATTGTTGAGTTCCCACGTATCACTCATCAGATGACGCGCGACGCACGGATTTCTTGCAGGCCATGGGGTTAGGGAGGCTGGGATGCGGTGCCACCGGAAGAGGCTCTGAAAACGGGGGAAGTGGACCTTCGCATGACTACCCGGAAACACATCAGTTAAACACCCGCCTACCGACAGGCATTCAGGTCATTTGTGGTGTCCTTCCATTTCCAGGCATCAGTCAATCGGAGGCCACGTTGAACAAGAACCACGATTCGTCGAACTCACACTGGCAGAGTGAACGACGCCGTCATATGTAAATGGAAACGCTGCATATAGAGGACCTCACCTGCATCCAGATATAGCGCAGGTGTGGGGGAATGCGGAATGGCGAACTCTTGTTAACTTGTCCTAATGACCTTGAAATTTAGTGGAATAGGATCTCCGCAGCCGTCTCAAATTGATCACAGGTCCTATTGGTCCACCTTCGTGGACTCATATCATGCTCCTGTGTGCACGGAAATATGTACGTCATTTGGAGTATCCGGAAACACAAAGCACCGCAAGATTGATGTCAACCGATTAACTAATTCCTCTGCCCACACTAGCTACCAGCCTTTATTGGCATATGCACTCCGTTGTAATCTACCGCAAGAAGTGGAACAACACTGCACTTATATACGGAAGGCAATGACCATTTCCGGACAGTCCAGCTGCGGACTAACTCGACGCCCGTTGAGCGGTTCGATCTCTGCTTTTTCTCTGGAGCTGTATGACCGCCGCAAATATGGCGAGACATGGTGGCCTGAGCGTGCTGTAGAGGTGGAGACTGCTCTCCTCTCTGGCAATACTCGCAAGCTTTTGCAACTTAATCCGTCCACTTGCCTCAGGATACTTGGTGTCAGTGGGGTCAGATGTGAGGTGCATGAGTCTCCCATGACGGAGAAGGGAACCAGTTCATCATTCGGTACTGGGAGTGAACGCTTGATGGCTTCAACCGTAATGAACCTATGAACCACGGCCGGTCCGCGCTCGATTTCAGGACATAGGGATCGCGAAAAGTCCTTAAAATGAAGGCTAACACCAAAGAGCGAAAGGAAAGACAGGATAAGAGCTATAAGTTTGAAAATGCATTTGGTCAGGATAAGGGGAAGGTTTCGTGTTGCCACGCTCCACAACTACACGATGAGGGATTGTCTGCCATGATCCGGTCAGAATGCGGCTTGTGTAGCTTTATGGGATGACCGCGAAGGCAAAGCAACCTGGCCGGGCTAAATAGCCAGCAGAAGTCCGTTCCAACCTTCCCTGTTAAAATGCGGTAAGTAAGGATTAGGTCTCCTCGAAGCCGTCGTTAGTGCATGGAATACATACCCAAAGTAAGTAGACGCTGGGGGTACGATTGCCCTCGTAACCCCTCGATCAATTTTTTACATACTCTCGAAACCCTCTCAAGCTCCATTTTGTCCCGAACAAGGCAGGGCGACCAAGGCTGGACGCAGTATTAAAGATGGGGCCGGACGAAATCTGAGAACATGTACACAAATATCTCGGCAGTTAGGAACCCGAAAAAACGGCGTATTAACCACAACATTCTAAAACCCTTACTAGCGGCCTTCTTCCAGTTGTCAACAGAAGGCCAAGCGGAGGAATGAAGGACACCTAGGTCTACGTGGTTGGAGACAACAACGACCGCAGTATGTTGAATAGAGCTCTCTTATCTTCCGCGTTACACGAGGGAAGGTGTGAGCAACGCCGCCGCATGTCACGCATAATGTGTACCCGGCAGAAAACAACGTTCGCATTGAAGTACGCATTACGAAACGCATTCACTTGGGCGGTGCACTTGTCCATCACTAAAGACCGAGCACCGGCAACCGCGGGGGCCAAATCCAACATACCTCTCACTGCCTCCTCGTAAGCCACCTCCGTCTCATTAGGCAACAGGGCATAAAAGAAACTCATACCGAGGCCGCTAACGTCCACAAACATGCAATGCCACAGGATGTAGCCTCTGTAATTGATCTGATAGGTGAAGTCCGCCAAAATTACCTCGCCGTATTGGCCCACTAATGCAAGCATGCGCGAAGGTACGAAAAACAGGTAACGAATCTGATTACCCTCATGCATAATTTTTACCTCACCATTTCTTTGCAACAGTTGAGTCACCTCCTCCACCTCAGTGACACAGGCAGTACGATGACGCGGCCGCATGACATACAAATCCCTCCTTGTTAAACGAATGTCATACTGCTGCCGCACAAAGGCGCGCATCTCCTGGGTCCGACGAAACGTTCTCATTAAGTTAAGCATCAGCCTGTCCTGATCTTCTATTAGCCTCCGATTACACGCATACAGCCAAGGCTTCCCAACTTGAAAGCTGTGCGAATGCCACAGATACGCATTCCCAATTTCGTAACATTCGCCCTAATACGTCACAGAAAAACGCGCAGGGAAACTGTAACATCGGTGCCTATAGTAATCATATCATGAGGCAACTGCAATGCACTTACCGCTTTCCAGTAAGATTGCTGCGCCTCCCATGCACACATAGAAACAAAATATACTGGTATGGACACCCTTCCCGTAGCACCTGTCCAGTCTCCCTTTCGTACGCCTTCGCAGTTCGCACGTTCCGAAGAACAAACGATGTCGCCGTTTCAATCTGAAACACTTTCAGATCCTTCTTCACCGATGCCAAGTCCAGATAAGGACCCTTAAGCATACGTCGGAATGCAAGCGAGTCATCCACCATGGCTGCTACGCGTGAGGAGGGAAAATGATTAACCATCGTAACGCATTTAAACTCCTTAGTAAATTGATTACCAATTGAGGTCTTAGGATTTCAGCAAGCATACTCAATCATTAATTAACAACACTATGGGTTCAACGTCGCCAAATCTACATCACATCACCTGCAACCCTGTGTACCAGAATAACACTGCCGAAGAAGCGTTATTTCCAAGTGGCGGATAGGACGCTCTCTGCAAGTAGACGTTTTATTATTCGGCTAAAGCGTAATTCCTGAAACAACATGCTACTTTGTTTGCTAATTGACTGTGGTAGACTTTCTACAGCCATTGGTCATTAAACCTATTCAAGGCACGTAATGTTAAAATTAATTTCAGTAGCCCCTTCTCTTTTATGTACATAAAATATCCGACGACTAGTTATTTTTGGGTTGGTGCAACAGCATTGCGCCTTATATTAAGAGTTGCATATAAACTGTGGTTTATATTGCACGTGTGCTGCACCTCGCAGCTTATATGGTGCCTGTTGATTGGTGCTTTTAATGTGTAGAATCATTAACTTGGGTCAATCTTTGGAAACGGGCTACACGCAGTCGCCCTCTTGCTTATTCGAAATGGCACAGTTCCTGTTGCGCGTGATCCACTTGTTCCTCGCATTCCCTCTGGACGCGGTCGATTAATTGGAATGCAATGACCGTGTATCTACAGAGTGCAGGTATTGCTTTTAGTGTGTAGGCTTTTTTTGCTTCACGGCTACCTGTTTGTCTTCCGATTTATGTCTTTATCTTTCATCTTAACTCTGCATCCCTTATCCCTTCATTAAATACTTTGTCAAATTTGCGCTGTTCGGATATTTAAACACTTTGCTTGTCAGCTTTCTGCCTGCCAAATTTGGCTATACTACCGAAATCAACCTCAACATGATCCCCTTGTCAACGTCCGTCATTTAGTTGAAATTCACGGAAAAGGTACCATACTTTATAGCTTTTAATCTTCGCGCAGTTATCCATATGACTAGCCACGCCGCAGAGAATGGAAGTGTTTTGCGGTCATTGTTGCACGGAGAGGGCAGCTTACAGGAAAACGATTTTACAAGCAATCTGTACCGTGGCACCAGTTCAGTCGTACCCGATGAATTCGTTGATGTATGCCAGGGCACCGATAGGAACATCGTTGAAAATTTATCTTCAAATTCTGTTAATGGGGTCTCCTTTTGTGACAAAGTTGAGTCAGCTTCAAATATGCCACTCTCGGATGTCAGTGTAGGTCCGCTTCTGCAGTGCGTTGTCGTTTTTTAACGCGTCGACTAGTTTCGCGCGTTAAGTTTAATTACTAAAGTGTGTTTTATTGATCAATACCCAACGTTGACTTTCTTGCGTCTTTCGCTCCATGATCTTGGAGCGCCTATTATTGGAACAGCGTACTGTGCTAGTACTACCTAGCACCTGAATTCGCTCGTTTGCACTTCCTATGCTCGTTGACCTCGTAGACGATTCGACGTGTAGTCGGTGTTTACGGTTTTGGCAACTGTCACTCAATCCTACTTCCTTTCCGCTGTTCACTGTTTTTGGCACAACGCCACCATTCTGTTCAGTTTTACTTCACTGCCACACTTTTTCCGCATATTCCGCTCCTTTACGTGCCTATTATATATGAACTGTCTTGACTGTTCAGACTACTATTTCTTGTCCTCGTCTGGTGTCTTCTAGCTGGCCACCCGTGGCTGCATTATACTACATTTGTACGATTCAGTTATCATTACTGTAATTTCTAAGCCAAGTTGGTTTCGTCACCTGATTCTTAATCGTTCTGCATGCTACCTTTCTTTTCGAGTCTCATCACTTAGCGCTTCGGACTTCAACATAGATGCTTGCCGCGTCGCTTACATTCAGATTGCACGTATTTAACCCACCACACTTTTTAGCGTTACACTCATCTGCACCATGAAGCAACAGCAAGATTGATTCGAATTTTGACATCTTACAGACCGTTCTTTGAAATCCTTTTCGGCCCGGGTTACCGTGGCTGCGGGGCGCTAACGGTTTCTGTACTAACTGCTTGCCAGTTAGACTCAAACTCTTCTGAACATCGTGTATCTGTGATGTCTTGTAACCTTCGGGATAGACCACACCAATTATCAACGCTCCTGCACCCTATTTCTTATCAAACATTTTTCCTAGCTCTCTTTGTATTTTGTTCGAATTTTGCTTTTTCTCACCACCACTATTTACTGTTTTCTTGGCGACGCCAGTCCTTCCATCGGCACCCATCTCACAGTTACTTAACTGGACCGTACTCCTCGGCATACGTTTGAGCCCCAATGATCTCCAAATTAAACTCACTGATCTAATCTGAAGCATTCAACGATACCGCTGGGTCATTTCTCTAAAATCTGCTGTCGCTTCCTACATTACCTTGTTTGCCCTTATGCGTTTTGGCACCAGTCTGCGATCGTTAATCGGCTGGTAATAGGCATTGTAATAGGAAAAAATAGATCTGATGTGCTAAAATGAAGGAATACACGATTCCAATTGGTTTCACAACGAATAGTAAAACCCAGTGGGTCAGATTTGAACTCAGTGAGAAGAACAGCACGTTCCTCACTTGTATCGGCAACTCCCAAAGTCAGTCCCAGTGTGCAAGCATATAAACGAGCCATAAATGGCACTGGTAAAAGGTTTTAGATGATTGGAAAAGTTACTAGGACGGCAAGATGGTTGGCGATTTCACTACAATATCTCCGGACGAACAGACTTCGTCCGCGACGCATGTAACGTTCCTGGGCCGTTTGACAGGAAATCTAGCTCGGCGGTTCGACTTTCAGTCGGGAGTGACCTCGGTCTTTGTTTTATATGGAACCTGGTAGTAGATGATGGTCCAAAAGTAAAGGCGATGACGTCGAGCAACGAGTGGTCGCATAACGAGGTTAGTGGGGCCTAGGGTAATGGATGTAGGTAAATTGGGCACACAATCAGACAGCAGTGGACAACAGGAAGAATCATACAAAGTATGATGGGTCCTCCTGTAAATAAAACCTCACCAGCCACGTTCCTTTAGCTAATGAAAACTTCTACCCAGCGTAGAAAGTAGTTTTTCGAAGGAATCCTCCAATCGACTTCGCTTTAATGCTCGAACACACCATCTGTTGATGAGACCAATGAATGGGCTCAATGATAAGTTACAGCGTTGTTTCTTTTGAAGAAAACAGTGGTACTTTGAAAGGAAGTCTCGCTCAGCATGGCGCATGTTGTGTTTACAGAGGACACGGCGAATATTTGGATGTCGCGATCCTCATAAGAAACAGGATGTGGCACGCCTGGTTCAGCTACCGGATTCTGTGCATCGAGCACTGCATCGGTTTGTCTGGGTAGGTAAAGGCAAGTAATGATGTGTGTTAGACAGACAGTGTTGTTCCTTCGGCTGAATGTCACAGATTTCAGTGGGGGCTTAACAGCCGACAGAAAATGTCTCCTACGTAATGGCTAAAACATGGGTAGGAGATTCATCTTGTAATATGGTACAGTCTGAAGTAAAACTTGTGCAAGTTTCTCCTGCCGAATCTTCGTTGTCGCGTTTGGACTCGCCTGGGACAAACTGCGGTGGCCTCGGAATGCTACCTCGCATGAGGAAAGATTCTGTAAAATCATTCATATACCGAACCTACTGACGAGGACGGAGATATTTCGGTGTACCTGAGTGTCTTTAACAGGGAAATTCACGTGAGATATCATGTACCAGAGCTTCATGTTAGCATGGGCTAAACTAAGTGGGATCCACTGTTCGCTTCCAACTGTCTGTCTAGGTCTGGGTGCCCTGGCAGTATCTCAGCCCACATACAACCATGACATCTGCTTCAAACATAAACTTCATCCTGCATCGGCCGTCGCGCAGATTATCAAGGGTCGCCTTATCTGCTGCATGCAGCATGTTGGATAAGAGAAAACATGCTACTGCTGGCGTCTCCTTTCTTTTCCACCTTTTTCTCTTACTCCCATCCCGACCCCCATCACTAACCTTCCTTCTATAATTCCCAACTTAATTGACAGCAACAGAAGTGCCACTGGAGTAGAACCATCTGCAGCCACCATCCCACCGCACCTATGGAACGCCTATCGGCAAAAGTCCCTTATAAGGCCACGCTGTCCCGTTTCCATTGCGACATTTAACGTTCGCACTCTAACAGGTCAACAGGTTGCACTCGCATACACCTTGGACGCACTGGGTATTGATGTGTGTTGTGTGTCCGAAACTAGGATCAATGACCCTAACGGGGTTATTAACTTAACTGCACCCGGCTTATCCTCTCGCTATTGGTTGCACGAATCCGGAGACGCTGATGCAGCACTCAAGGGTCAAGCTGGTGTAGGTATCATTCTAAGCTCCAGGGCTGAGTCATCGTTGATTGATTGGAATTCGGTGAACAGCCGTTTATGCGCAGCCGCTTTGAAGACACCAGCTAAGGTTGATTCACGAAATAGTACAAAAGGCTGTTTGTTTGTGAATTCCGCTACTGCTCCCACCGACTGCAGTTCAAATCCTGTCAGGGACACATTCTATCATGAATTGAGTGAGCTACTACGCAGTGCTATTAGTTCAGACATTATAGTACTTGCAGGGGATATGAACGCACAAGTAGGGCGTCTGAGCTCTTCAGAAGCTCAGCTGGGTGGTAATTATGGGCTTAACTCCGAACGGACTGACAACGGTGAGCGTCTGCTGCAACTGTGTGCGGAGCACCAATTGTTTCTTAGTAGCACTGCTTTTAGACACAGTGGACGTCGAAGTGCCACTTGGCGTCCTCATGTAGCTGGCCAGCGATGGACCGAAATTGACCACATAGCCATAAGTGACAGGTGGCGTCGTTCCATCCTGGATTGTCGCTCATACTGGAGTACCTGTGTCGACTCTGATCATGCCATGGTACGTTGTCGTTTCTCCATGAACTTTACCGCGAGGCGCACCAAGCGTCCCCTACGATTGGCAACGGAGAAATTGTCTCAGTCCTCGATCAGGCAAGCCTATCAAGAATCATTGGATACCGAACTTCCGCTGTATTGTCCTAATGACACTGAGCTTCAGTGGAATGGGATCTCAGCCGCCATGCACGACGCAGGAGCATCTGCTTGTGGCACTATCCATCGTCACCGCACTAGTCACTGGATATCCGAGAGGTCGGTGAACCTGTTGGAACCTAGAAGACATCTCCCGACTGGCTCTGAACACAATGTGACCAGACGGGATGTTAGGCGTGAACTAAAGCAGAGCCTACGTGCTGACAAGGAAGCCTGGTGGACCAGTAGGGCTCAAACAACGGAGGATGCAGGAGCAGTAGGCAATTACCGCAAGCTCTTCCAGCTTATCCGCACCACTGGTCCCAGAAAACAATACGTCAGTGACACAATCAGAGACAGCGCGGGTGCCCTGATACACAATAAGGATCGCTGTATGGCTCGTTGGGCGGAACACTTTCATGATCAGTTCAGCTGGCCCCCTGCTAGCGGACCTCTTCTTATTCAGGTGATACAGGACGAGCCATGGACGGTTAGTTTAGAGCCTCCATCGGAGGCCGAGGTCCGAAATGCGATCACAGCCCTTAATCGTTTTCATGCCGTTGGCTCGGGTTCCCTCCCACCTGCACTATTTAAAGATAAAGGTGAGGTCCTCTGCAAAGCATTGACCTCTTTATTCGAACGTATCTGGAAGGAAGTGTCCCGGCTAATTGGAGCGAATCGACCATAGTGGCAATATACAAGAAGGGCAGTCGCACCGACTATTCTAACATCAGGGGTATTAGCCTAACACCAGTTGTGACAAAATTACTTGCCTCGATTCTCGTTCGTCGCCTAACTGTGGAACGGGAATCTCGGATTAGGGAAGAGCAGGCCGGTTTCCGCCCAGGATGTGGCTTTATAGACCATATACTCATTTCGAGGCAGGTGCTAGAGCAGCGCCACGCATACCGCAGACCGACAATAGTTGTGTTCCTCGATTTCAACAATGCGTTCGATTCAGTCGATCGATCGATTCTGTTCGAAATACTTGCGCGCAAAGGTGTTCCAACGAAATATGTGAACATCCTACGTGCTCTTTACTCGAACACTACATGCCGCGTCAGGGTCTACTGTGTCCTACCGGATAGTTTTCCGACCAGGATTGGCGTTCGTCAGGGTTATCCGATTTTTCCATTTTTGTTCAATTTCGTCGTGGATTCTATCATGGAGTGTTCCCTTGCGGAATCTTATGATGTAGGCGTTGAAGTGCT